TGTGCTCAGAGCTGCGGCCTTGGGGCACTGAGAGCATGCGTGGCCAGCTACATGACAAAGAAAGCAGAGGTGATTGGCCCTGCAGTGAAAGTAAGTATCATGTCCAGTATCCCCGCACACATTACATGGCCCATTAGACTTCAATTTGCTCCTATTCTCTTTTTGGAACTTACGGTCAGACTGTTGTGGCCTCTGCTCCAGCACACGCTCCAGCACCGCAAGGATACGTTCCATCTGCCCAGCTGAGCCCTGAATAGTCTGGGCTGGAGAAGGCAACGCATAAGGTACTTCCATGTGGGGCCTCACAGCAGGCATGGTGATTGGCATGACAGCACCAACTTCCTGCTTCATTGTTGCGATGGCTGGGGTCACCTTAGATAAGTGAGAGTACCTCTGCTCCCTCCTGTATTCATCCAACCTCTCATGAACATCTGCAGCGGTCCACTGCTGTAATGGTTTGCACTTAAAGATAAGCGACAGTTCGGAATAGCACAAAATTGCACGTCATGCAATGCACGGCTCACCATCCAACTGTGCACTCACGCACTGTACAAAATATACAAACCCCCCACCAGACACAGTAAGTTGCTAGCTAGTATTAGCTGGAATTCTCTACAACAAAATGTACAACAAATATTCACCAAAAAACACTACCTTATGTGTGATGTTCGAATAACATTTACAAACAAATGGATATAAATTATACATTTACATCATCACTTGGGAGTATAAAAATCACTTTTGACGTACAGTGCTTTTGTAACCGGTGTGAAATGGCTAGCTAGTTAGCGGTGCGCGCTAGTAGCATTTCAATTGGTGACGTCACTCGCTCTGAGACCTTGAAGTAGTTGTTTCCCTTGCTCTGCAAGGGCCGCGGCTTTTGTGGAGTGACGGGTAACGGTGCTTCGAGGGTGACTGTTGTCGATGTGTGCAGAGGGTCCCTGGTCTCACATTCCTCCTCTGGATCATCCAGATGGTCATTGGCAAACTTCAGACGGGCCTGGACATGCGCTGGCTTGAGCAGGGGCACCTTGCGTGCGCTGCAGGATTTTAATCCATGACGGCGTAGTGTGTTACTAATGGTTTTCTTTGAGACTGTGGTCCCAGCTCTCTTCAGGTTATTGACCAGGTCCTGCCGTGTAGTTCTGGGCTGATCCCTCACCTTCCTCATGATCATTGATGCCCCACGAGGTGAGATCTTGCATGGAGCCCCAGACCGAGGGCGATTGACCGTCATCTTGAACTTCTTCCATTTTCTAATAATTGCGCCAACAGTTGTTGCCTTCTCACCAAGCTGCTTGCCTATTGTCCTGTAGCCCATCCCAGCCTTGTGCAGGTCTACAATTTTAACCCTGATGTCCTTACACAGCGCTCTGGTCTTGGCCATTGTGGAGAGGTTGGAGTATGTTTGATTGAGTGTGTGGACAGGTGTCTTTTATACAGGTAACGAGTTCAAACAGGTGCAGTTAATACAGGTAATGAGTGGAGAACAGGAGGGCTTCTTAAAGAAAAACTAACAGGTCTGAGAGAGCCGGAATTCTTACTGGTTGGTAGGTGATCAAATACTTATGTCATGCAAACAAATTGAGAAAAACATTTCCAGAAAATCACATTGTAGGATTTTTAATGAATTTATTTGTAAATTATGGTGGAAAATAAGTATTTGGTCACCTACAAACAAGCAAGATTTCTGGCTCTCACAGACCTGTAACTTCTTCTTTAAGAGGCTCCTCTGTCCTCCACTCGTTACCTGTATTAATGGCACCTGTTTGAACTTGTTATCAGTATAAAAGACACCTGTCCACAACCTCAAACAGTCACACTCCAAACTCCACTATGGCCAAGACCAAAGAGCTGTCAAAGGACACCAGAAACAAAATTGTAGACCTGCACCAGGCTGGGAAGACTGAATCTGCAATAGGTAAGCAGCTTGGTTTGAAGAAATCAACTGTGGGAGCAATTATTAGGAAATGGAAGACATACAAGACCACTGATAATCTCCCTCGATCTGGGGCTCCATGCAAGATCTCACCCCGTGGGGTCAAAATGATCACAAGAACGGTGAGCAAAAATCCCAGAACCACACGGGGGGACCTAGTGAATGACCTGCAGAGAGCTGGGACCAAAGTAACAAAGCCTACCATCAGTAACACACTACGCCGCCAGGGACTCAAATCCTGCAGTGCCAGACGTGTCCCCCTGCTTAAGCCAGTACATGTCCAGGCCCGTCTGAAGTTTGCTAGAGTGCATTTGGATGATCCAGAAGAGGATTGGGAGAATGTCATATGGTCAGATTAAACCAAAATATAACTTTTTGGTAAAAACTAAACTTGTCGTGTTTGGAGGACAAAGAATGCTGAGTTGCATCCAAAGAACACCATACCTACTGTGAAGCATGGGGGTGGAAACATCATGCTTTGGGGCTGTTTTTCTGCAAAGGGACCAGGACGACTGATCCGTGTAAAGGAAAGAATGAATGGGGCCATGTATCGTGAGATTTTGAGTGAAAACCTCCTTCCATCAGCAAGGGCATTGAAGATGAAACGTGGCTGGGTCTTTCAGCATGACAATGATCCCAAACACACCGCCCGGGCAACGAAGGAGTGGCTTCGTAAGAAGCATATCAAGGTCCTGGAGTGGCCTAGCCAGTCTCCAGATCTCAACCCCATAGAAAATCTTTGGAGGGAGTTGAAAGTCCGTGTTGCCCAGCGACAGCCCCAAAACATCACTGCTCTAGAGGAGATCTGCATGGAGGAATGGGCCAAAATACCAGCAACAGTGTGTGAAAACCTTGTGAAGACTTACAGAAAACGTTTGACCTGTGTCATTGCCAACAAAGGGTATATAACAAAGTATTGAGAAACTTTTGTTATTGACCAAATACTTATTTTCCACCATAATTTGCAAATAAATTCATTAGAAATCCTACAATGTGATTTTCTGGATTTTTTTTTCTCATTTTGTCTGTCATAGTTGACGTGTACCTATGATGAAAATTACAGGCCTCTCTCATCTTTTTAAGTGGGAGAACTTGCACAATTGGTGGCTGACTAAATACTTTTTTTCCCCACTGTATATATATATACACACTACCGTTCAAAAGTTTGGGTTCACTTAGAAATGTCCTTGTTTTCCATGAAAACATACATGAAATTAGATTGAATAGGAAATATAGCAAAATGAAATGTATTAATTGACAAGGTTAGAAATAATGATTTTTAATATAAATAATAATTGTGTCCTTCAAACTTTGCTTTCGTCAAAGAATCCTCCATTTGCAGCAATTACAGCCTTGCAGACCTTTGGCATTCTAGTTGTCAATTTGTTGAGGTAATCTGAAGATATTTCCCCCCTTGCTTCCTGAAGCACCTCCCACAAGTTGGATTGGCTTGATGGGCACTTTTTACGTACCATATGGTCAAGCTGCTCCCACAGCTCAATAGGGTTGAGATCCGGTGACTGTGCTGGCCACTCCATTATAGACAGAATACCAGCTGACTGCTTCTTCCCTAAATAGTTCTTGCATAGTTTGGAGCTGTGCTTGGGTCATTGTCCTGTTGTAGGAGGAAATTGGCTCCAATCAAGCGCCGTCCACAGGGTATGGCATGGCGTTGCAAAATGGAGTGATAGCCTTCCTTCTTCAAGATCCCTTTTACCCTGTACAAATCTCCCACATTACCACCACCAAAGCACCCCGAGACCACACATAAGACATGAAGGTCAGTCAATACGGAACGTTCCAAGGACTTTGAACGTTTCTTCAAGTGCAGTCACAAAAACCATCAAGCGCTATGATGAAATTGGCTCTCATGAGGACCACCAAAGGAAAGGAAGACCCAGAGTTACCTCTGCTGCAGAGGATAATTTCATTAGAGTTACCAGCCTCAGAAATTGCAGCCCAAATAAAGTAACAGACATCTCAACATCAACTGTTCAGAGGGGACTGTGTGAATCAGGCCTTCATGGTCGAATTGCTGCAAAGAAACCACTACTAAAGGACACCAATAAGAAGAAGAGACCTGCTTGGGCCAAGAAACACGAGCAATGGACATTAGACTGGTGGAAATTTGTCCTTTGGTCTGGAGTCCAAATGTGAGATTTTTGGTTCCAACCGTAGTGCCTTTGTGAGATGCGATATGGGTGAACGGATGATCTCCGCATGTGTAGTTCCCACCGTGAAGCATGGAGGAGGAGGTGTGATAGTGTGGATGTGCTTTGCTGGTGACACTGTCTGTGATTTATTTAGAATTCAAGGCACACTTAACCAGCATGGCTACCACAGCATTCTGCAGCGATACGCCATCCCATCTGGTTTGGGCTTAGTGGGACTATCATTTGTTTTTCAACAGGACAATGACCCAACACACCTCCAGGCTGTGTAAGGGCTATTTTACCAAGAAGGCGAGTGATGGAGTGCTGCATCAGATGACCTGGCTCCCACAATCCTCCGACCTCAACCTAATTCAGATGGTTTGGGATGAGTCAGACGGCAGAGTGAAGGAAAAGCAGCCAACAAGTGCTCAGCATATGTGGGAACTCCTTCAAGACTGTTGGAAAAGCATTGCAGGTGGAGCTGGTTGAGAGAATGCAAAGAGAGTGCAAAGCTATCATCATGGCTATTTGAAGAATCTTATTTGAAGTAACACTTTTTGGTTACTACATGATTCCATGTGTTATTTCATAGTTTTGATGTCTTCACTATTATTCTGAAATATAGAAAATAGTAAAAAATAAAGAAAAACCCTTGAATGAGTAGGTGTGTCCAAACTTTTGACTGGTACTGTATATGGTAACCAACATCTCTTAAGGCAATTATTGAAACCTGACCAAAAAACAGCTTTAAAATACATTAATGTGGACAGAAATTAGCCTTGATAATAGCAAGATACTACAACTCACTAACCCCTGTCAAAAGGTGGTAAATGTAAGGCTATGGTTAATGTATAATGACAAGCAGCTGCCTGTGAAGCTCAGCCTGTGACTGCTCCACAGTAGAGTGGTCACTCCTCAGTCCTGAGTTTGATGTAGCAATCATAGGAAGGCGGCATGCGGCCAAAGCTGTAGCACGCTGGGTCGATGTTGATCTCCTCTGGAGGTCTGGTGCCGGTGAAAGTGAAGCGCTGCAGGAGGGAGGTAAAGAGGAGAAAGAGCTCTAATCTGGCCAGAGCCTCTCCCAGACACAACCCGCTTCCCTGGGGACAAGAGAAGGGAGAGGGGAGAGGTCATTGTCAGTCAGCCTAGAACTTCAATTGTTTAATTGAAGTTGACCAGAGGTTCTCAGGTTTCTTGTTTTGTTTTTAAAATGAGTGGGGAAGTCCTAGGCTGGTGGATCAGGCTAGCTCCACCACGCTAGGGTAGTCCCAATCCTCTCATATCTTTTCATGTTTTTTTGTGGATAGGATAGAGAGACACAGGAAAGTTATTAGGAGAGCGTGCAGAAAAGCAGTGGGCCAAATTCAAACCCATGCTGGCAGCGGAACAAAGTACATGTGCTCCAGAGAGGCAGCGGCGTAGACCGCTAGACTACCCCAGGCCACTAGGTTTCTTGTTATTAACTCACATAATCTATAAACTACTTGGAGCGTGATCTTACCCACTCCAAAAGGGAAGAATCCATCATTTTTCTTAAAGCGTCCATTTTCATCCAGGAAGTTCTCTGGGTCAAACTCATCTAGGTTCTTGAACAGTTTGGGATCAGCAAGCACAGAGGACAGCAGAGGCAGGACCATGGTACCCTGAAAGAATGTCAAAATAACACCCTTCACTTGCTATGAAAACTGCATGTTGATTAGTAAAATGTAAATCATATTTTTTGAACAACACTTCCACCAAGTCAAACAAAATATGGTGAAATGTAACATTCAGTGTTCCTAAAGTTACAGAATTGTGGTCACCTCTGGAATGAGGTAGTTGTGGAACTCTGTATCTCTGATCACTGTGGGGGACAGAGGTGGGAGTGAGATCCATATATCTCTGGACTTCATGAATGACAGCGTCCATGTAGGGCATTTTAACTCTGTCGTCAATCGTGAGCACTCTTGAGCCAATCACCTCGTCTATCTCCTTCTGAACACTCCCTTATGAAGACTTCGGTCACACTTTACATTACGTTGCACTGATACCATATACGGATTGTTGTTGGAGTTATTACATGTAACTACATCGTAATAACACATTTCAAACAACTTATAGTCCAGGACTATTCTTTTTTGGATTAGTGTTTTCAAATAGGTCTAGGAGACTTGGATGCAATCGTTAAAGACCTGGGTAGATGGGGTACCTTGAACATGAGGGTACTTCATCAGAAAGGAGGTGGATGGTGGAAGATGTGGTTTCTGTTCCAGCAGAAAACAGGTTCCATACAGTCATCACCATGTTCTCATAGTTGAACTCAGTGTTGTGATTATCTTTCTCCTAAGAGAAGAGAACAGAGAAGATACCTATGTAAGTGCAAGTAAACAGTGACATCTGGTGACAACTTGATGCGATCTCCACATACTTATTGCTACTAAATACGTTGGAAAACCAGAGATGGGCCTCTCACTTGTCTATTCACTCTTGATAGCCAAACTCACATAAGTGGATATGGATGGTGTCTTAATTCCAGCCACATTCCATATTTTCATAATGTGTAAGAGGTTCGACCTCCAATGTGATGATCATGCCGTGTTTTCTACCTCTAGCATTTTAACCAGGAAAGCCTCGATGAAGTCCTGAGGGTCAGAGGTGTCCAGGGTTTTAAGACATATTTCTGCTTGCCCTTGTATGTCATCTTTGGCCTTGTTTATGATAGTAAAACATCTCATGGGGTTTGCCTGGAAAGCACCAAACGATTCTAGGGAACATGTTGTACATCTGAAAGAAAGGGGAGGAAGGGGAGTTTTTTTTTATATATCCTTAGAGATTGAAAGTAGTGTTAGGTTCAAGTTCTTTGTGTAGGAGAAGTGTAATTATTTAGTGGACTGTAGGAATGTGTACTCCCAATAACTCAAGGCCTCTCCTGACTGATAAGAAGTTCTGTGATATGCATGGAGAAATCCTGGGTGATGGAAAAGTACTGAAGTACATTTTTGTGGAAAGGAGGGGGCGAGAGCTAAGGGTATATATTGACACTGCATTGAATGTATGTATTCAGCTGTTACATCTTTGCTGAGAAAGCATTTGAAACATCACTCAGAGTTTGGGCTCTTTTGTATGATAAATGTGTTATTTGTGTATTGAGATATTGGTCTTATCAAAACACTAGATGATCCATGTATTATAAAGTAAAACTGCACCTTTACAATTACAGGTTTAGTGTGAAAAGCTTGGTGAAGATATATTACTGAGAATAATGTATACAGTTCCTTCCTGTTATAAAATTCCCTCAGCCTCAGTTCTCAGTCCCATTGCATCCAAAACAAACGTTAATCACCCTTGGAATTTATCCCTGGGGTCCTGGAGGGAGAGGCAGGTCCTGGCAAAGTGCTCTATCTGATTTTGTACTGGGGGGGTGGGGGGGGGGGGGGGGGGGGGGGGGGTTTACTGTTACTATATTCTGCAATAAACCATGCATCTTCAGTTTCTACTTAATTCCCACAACCTGAGTAATATTGCCCATAAAGTTATTATACAATATATTTCAAATGCAAGAAAGATACCATGAAAACAACCTAGCTCCATATTCACTGAAGGCTTTCACCAGCATCTTAGCCTCTTCTTGGACCCGTTCTTCGATGCTCCTGTGCCCCATCCCAACGTTTTTTTCAGGGTCATCAGGGAGAACCTGCGAAGATCTTTCGATCTCTTCCCACTGCTCACCAACACTCCTACAGTAAAGTGTAAGACAGAAGCACAAAGAGGAAGAATTTGAAAAGCATAACATCAACCTAATGTAACGTAACATACAGTTGAAGTCGGAAGTTTACATACACCTTAGCCAAATACATTTAAACTCAGTTTTTCACAATTCCTGACATTTAATCCTAGTAAAAATTCCCTGTCTTAGGTCAGTTAGGATCACCACTTTATTTTAAGAATGTGAAATGTCAGAATAATAGTAGAGAGAATGATTTATTTCAGCTTTTATTTCTTTCATCACATTCCCAGTGGGTCAGAAGTTTACATACACTCAATTAGTATTTGGTAGCATTGCCTTTAAATTGTTTAACTTGGGTCAAACGTTTCGGGTAGCCTTCCACAAGCTTCCCACAATAAGTTGGGTGAATTTTGGCCCATTCCTCCTGACAGAGCTGGTGTAACTGAGTCAGGTTTGTAGGCCTCCTTGCTCGCACACGCTTTTTCAGTTCTGCCCACACATTTTCTATAGGATTGAGGTAAGGGCTTTGTGATGGCCACTCCAATACCTTGACTTTGTTGTCCTTAAGCCATTTTGCCACAACTTTGGAAGTATGCTTGGGGTCATTGTCCATTTGGAAGACCTATTTGCGACCAAGCTTTAACTTCCTGACTGATGTATTGAGATGTTGCTTCAATATATCCACATAATTTTCCTTCCACATGATGCCATCTATTTTGTGAAGTGCGCCAGTCCCTCCTGCAGCAAAGCACCCCCACAGCATAATGCTGCCACCCCCGTGCTTCACGGTTGGGATGGTGTTCTTCGGCTTGCAAGCCGCCGCCGTTTTCCTCCAAACATAACGATGGTCGTTATGGCCAAACAGTTCTATTTTTGTTTAATCAGACCAGAGGACATTTCTCCAAAAAATTAGATCTTTGTCCCCATGTGCAGTTGCAAACCGTAGTCTGTCTTTTTTATGGCGGTTTTGGAGCAGTGGCTTCTTCCTTGCTGAGCGGCCTTTCAGGTTATGTCGATATAGGACTCGTTTTACTGTGGATATAGATACTTTTGTACCTGTTTCCTCCAGCATCTTCACAAGGTCCTTTGCTGTTGTTCTGGGATTGATTTGCACTTTTCGCACAAAAGTACATTCATCTCTAGGAGACAGAACGCGTCTCCTTCCTGAGCGGTGTGATGTCTGCGTGGTCCCATGGGGTTTATACCTGCGTACTATTGTTTGTACAGATGAACGTGGTACCTTCAGGCGTTTGGAAATTGCTCCCAAGGATGAACCAGGCTTGTGGAGGTCTACAATTTTTTTTCTGAGGTCTTGGCTGATTTATTTTGATTTTCCCATGATGTCAAGCAAAGAGGCACTAAGTTTGTAGGTAGGCCTTGAAATACATCCACAGGTACACCTCCAATTGACTAAAATGATGTCAATTAGCCTATCAGAAGCTTCTAAAGCCATGACATCATTTTCTGGAACTTTCCAAGCTGTTTAAAGGCACAGTCAACTTAGTGTATGTAAACTTCTGACCCACTGGAATTGTGATACAGTGAATTATAAGTGAAATAATCTGTCTGGAAACAATTGTTGGAAAAATGACTTGTGTCATGCACAAAGTAGATGTCCTAACCGACTTGCCAAAACTATAGTTTGTTAACAAGAAATTTGTGGAATGGTTGAAAAACTAGTTTTAATGACTCCAACCTAAGTGTATGTAAACTTCCGACTTCAACTGTAATATCTGCTAAATTGTCAATTTCCACACAGACAGACTGTGGTAAGGTCAATGACATCCACCTACTCCCATTAAAAAAAAATAAACACCCACCATAAATATCCTTTAGAGACTGTCATGATCACAGGTTAGTTGGCTCTGCCGCTGAACTCGGTGGCCTGAGCCAGAGATCACCACTACAGTGTTTGGGGCCCAGCCATACAGTAAACCCATGGGGCGGCGCACAATTGGCCCAGCGTCGTCCAGGGTAGGGGAGGGAATGGCTGGCAGGGATGTAGCTCAGTTGGTAGAGCATGGCGTTTGCAACGCCAGGGTTGTGGGTTCGATTCCCACGGGGGGCCAGTATGAAAAAATAATTTAAAAAAATTATGTATGCACTCATTAACTGTAAGTCGCTCTGGATAAGAGCGTCTGCTAAATGACGTAAATGTAAAAAATGTAAACACTGAGCCATACTTCTTACTGAGCTGAGAAGAGAAAAACCATAGGGTTATAGTTAGGGAACCCAGTATAGTGGTGTCTCAGATCCAGGGGCGCAACTTTGGTTTTAGAAGTGGGTGGGGTGGGGGGGGGGGGGGGGGGGGGGGGATCACTTATTTTTTATCCAGTCAGATAAACACTCCAGACCGCTTAGAGGCTTCTGCATGGTCTGTTGCCTCGTTTTGTATCACATTCCAATGACAAAACTGGGGGGAACAAAAATGCAATTTCAGAATATGGGGGGGGGGGGGGGGGGGGGGGGTTGCGCCCCTGCTCAGATCCCTGGTTTATATGGAGCACTGCTGACAGTCCTGGGATGTATGACATTAAGTGAAATTATTGTGGCACTGCTATTCCTTTGTATAAGTGGTGGAGAGACCCAAGACAGCCAGAGATGCAGTGGCAAATTGATAGTACATTACACTCACTCAGATATCGAAAATGTGTCAAAATAAGTGTATTTATTGCATGTTATTTTATGTTCCCAAAGATATTTTACACAAGCAGCTTTACTGCAGTAATATATCAACATTGGAGGCCTCAGAGATATAAATAATTCACTTATAAGGCACAGTCTGTATCGGGTGGTTGCCTTGCAAATAATTACTAAGTCTATGGCAACAGCCCAATCCAGACATCCAAAACCTGTTCAACCAAAAGTTAACCTACAGTATCATGATTTAGTAACTGTAGCAGTCACATGAGAACACTGAACTGCATTGTTGCTCCAATAACAAACACTGAAAAAAGTATAATAATATAAAACATAATAATAATCTAGCTAGCCACATTTAGATATTACTTTTCCAAAGAGCTTGGCAAAAATACTTATATTCAAGCAACCCTAGATCTATCACTGGTTGAGGGAGAACCGAAGGTGGAAGAACCACAGAGGGGCTAAACTCCCTCCCAAACAACCCCATCTCTCTCACCATGCAATTGGCTATCCACCCAAAGATGTTGTTCATGTTCCCAGCACTCTAGGAGTACCTTTTATATAGGATGTGTAACCTTATGTCCTTGTAGATTTACCCAATATGTCATGGCTAGCTGTTGTCTTCTTTACTGTAACGGCATCTCTCCCAAGTCTACCTGCATCGCTGCCACCGGGGAGGTCCTGAGTGCTCCACAACATATTCTTAGGGCCTGGATTACATCTAGCTTTTTTAAAGACGGCTGAGCTGCTGATCCATATGCTACACTTCCATAATCCATTAATGACCTTAACAGCGCTATATATATATATATATATATATATATATATATATATATATATATATATATCATTTTTAATGCCATTCTATCTGCCCCCCACTCCATTCCTGACAAGCAACGCATCATATTCAATATTTTCTTTCCTTTGACAACTACTCTGTTAATATGCTCCGTCCATGTCATTCAAGTGTCAACCCAGACCCCCAGGAACCTAAACCCTCCCACCCTCTCCAGATTCCTTTCATACAACTTCAAATATATTTCCTCCCCAACCTTCCTTCTAGAAAAAAAAAACAGTCTGTTTTCTCAAATGAAAACTTGAAGCCCCACCTGAGGGACCACTGCTCTACTTCACTAATCGCTTCTTGAACTCTTCTGGCTGTATGGGTAATATTTCTCCCTCTCTTCCACAGCGCTCCATCATCTGCAAACAATGACCTCCCAATATCAGGTCTCACCTGAGAGAATACACATGAGATACGTCAATCATAATGGAGAACAACAAAAGACTAATGACACTTCCCTGGGGGGGGGGGTACTATTATCCACCTCATAGCTTTCTGACATAGAGCTCCCCACCCTCACCTGTATAGATCGGCCAAAAAGAAAATCCTTTATCCAGTTAAAAACCCTTCCTCCAACCCCCATGTCATCCAGCTTGATAAGTAGGCCTTCCTTCCACATCAAAGAAAATGGCTACCACCACCTCCTTATTTGCCTGTGCCTTCCGTATGACTGTCTCAAGGCACAGTACAGGATCCATCGTTCCCCTGCCTTTCCTGAACCCACTTTGATCAGGTGACATTAGTCCTCTACTCTCCAGAAAGTAAGTCAGCCTTTCCGTTATCATCCTTTCCATAAGTTTACATACGTGAGATGTCCACGCTATCGGCCTATAGCTTGAAGGACTAGTAGGGTCTTTCCCAGGTTTCCGTGTTGGCACCACTACCGTCTGCTTCCAACTTCCAGGCAGTTTCACTTCCTGCCACACCTTATTGTAAAGGCCCAATACTTTCCCCATTGCAGGTGCTGGTAATTATGGGACCTTTTCAGCATTCTGAAAGCGCTGTTCCTACTCTTCACTGCTTCTCCACACTCTTCACTCCACCACGGGACTGCGTTACTCTTTCTCCCCCCTGTACCCATAGGAATCACCTGCCTTGCAGCCGCTACTATTGCTCCTCTTACTCCATCATTGGATGTTTCTATATCTGAATTAAGATCTACCTGAGACAACTCCTGTTCACTCAACTCCTGAAACTAACCCCACTCCGCTTTCCCAAATATCAATTTCCTCAATCCATTTCCTACTGATTCTTCCTCCCTCAATCCTACAGTACACATGATAGGATAGTGATCACTACCCACTGTAGATTCCTCCAAAACCTCCCAACTACATCTGCCTGCCATTGAACTTGAGATCAAAGTAAGATCCAGAGCAGATTCATTTCCAGTTACTGGGTCAATCCCGGTTCCCCGGCCGTCATTAAGACCCACAAGCCCTTTCTCATCCAGTAGTTCCTCCAACGCTTGTCCATTTACATCAGTCTGTAACCCTCCCCAGAGCGTACTATGATCATTAAAATCCCCCACACCACATTACCCGTCTCCTATCTTGGCCTTCTACATTCCCAAGGGCCAGCAACTCCAGTCTCTTACACGGGTTGTAAAAGTTCACTATTACCATATTCCCCCCTCCCAACCACACCTCTACATACTCCTGTTCCACTCCCTCTCCCACACACATATATGGGATATCCCGCTTTATAAAGGTAGCACACCCTCCTCCTCCCCCTGCCACCCTATCTCTACGGACTGCAACATAACCTTATAATACTAAATCTAGAGAAGGTTTTAGCCATGTCGCCTGGAGACATATCACATCAGGTTTGGCTGGTAACTCCTCAAGAAACTGTTTGAACTCTTGCCCATTAGCCATCAAATTTCTGGCATTCCATTGAAGGATTAACACCATAATGCAAATTAACCAATACATGATTCCTGGCTGAACTGATTCTCAATCTTATTGAGGTCGTCCTGTACATTTTCCCATGTCAGTCCTGTGATCCCAAGATACCTCACTGCCTGCTCCACTATGATCTTTATCTTCTTAGTCCTCAATTGTAATTTTTCTGTGCAATTGATTGCTGCTGTCACAAATGTAACAACCTTCCCACCCCTGTCTCAGTCTCCAGTATCTATGCTGCAATGGTCTATGTGCCGGGGGGCTAGGGTCAGTCTGTTATATCTGGTGTAATTCTCCTGTCTTATCTGGTGTCCTGTGTGAATTTAAGTATGCTCCCTCTAATTCTCTCTCTCTCCCTCCCCTCCCGGAGGACCTGAGCCCTAGGATCAGGACTACCTGGCCTGATGACACCTGGCTGTCCCCAGTCCACCTGGTCATGCTGCTGCTCCAGTTTCAACTGTTCTGCCTGCGGCTAGGGAACCCTGACCTGTTCATCGGATGTGCTACCTTGTCCCGTACCTGCGGTTTTCCACTCTCTCTCTCTCTACCGCAACTGCTGTCTCAACATCTGAATGCTCGGCTATGAAAAGCCAACTGACATTTACTCCTGAGGTACTGACCTGTTGAACCCTCTACAACCACTGTGATTATTATTTGACCCTGCTGGTCATCTATGAACGTTTGATCATCTTGAAGAACAATCTGGCCTTAAATGGCCATGTGCTCTTATAATCTCCACCCGGCACAGCCAGAAGAGGACTGGCCACCCCTCAGAGCCTGGTTCCTCTCTAGGTTTCTTCCTAGGTTCCTGCCTTTCTAGGGAGTTTTTCCTAGCCACTGTGCTTCTACATCTGCATTGCTTGCTGTTTAGCGTTTTAGGCTGGGTTTCTGTATAGCACTTTGTGACATCTGCTGATGTAAAAAGGGCTTTATAAATCAATTTGATTGATTGATTGATTGATGTCTCCTACCAGTCTTGTGTTCTCCCCCATTCTGCTCTCTCCATCACGCCCAACCTGCATCTCAATCTGCCCTGGAATATCTGCTCTTCTAGGTGCCCCAATTGTTTCTGCGCGAACTACCTTCACTGCTTCTGCAGACGAGATGTTACGCTCACTCCTCACCTGCAGCACTTCCACCTGTCTTTTCATCACTGAACAACCCCCATACACTATGGGCGCCCCCACAGTTACAGCACTTTAACTGGACCCCACCTCCACATTCCCCATATGCATGTTCTCCCCCACACTTCGCACATCTCCTTTTGCCTTTACACACCGCCGCCACATGCCCAAACCTTTGACAGTTATAGCAACGCAATGGTTTCAGAACATACGCTCGCACATAGCAACTCATATACTCAATCCTAACTTTTCCTGGCAATACCAGATCCTTACAGTTTAGTAGCACTGACAAGCTATCCACCTTCTTCCCATCAAGTGTCAACTTGCGGCGCTTTGCCTCAATAAGAGAGCCTCCCTTCAAGTGGTCCTTTATTTCTTGCTTGTTAACAATTTCTGGAACTCCAGTAATAACTCCCTTCACCCACTTCCGTCCAGTTTGATCCGGCATGCTACTATCAACCACACGTTTATATACCTGCTTGAGTTTGAGTTCCTTCTCATACTGTTTAACATTGAAACACACCACCAAACTTCCATCACAAAGTACTTTAGCAGACACAACCTCTCCTACTTTACTCTCCAAATCCCTAGCCAACGCAATCGGACTCACCGCCGTGACTCCACCTTGATCCTTAAATTTCACCAACACCTTGAACTCCACTTCTCTCAGTACAACACTGCGATCCGAACCTCCCTTGTCACTACTCTCTTCTGACAAGACCTGCAAAGGCTACTCAGGCTTCCTCTTATTCTTAACCTTTACTCTTACTATACCTCCACCTTTTCCCACTCCACCACTACACTCCATCCTGTCCTCCTCAACTCCTAACCCCCCTACATTTCCATCCATCTCTGCTCCAGTCACAGCCCAGTGTTGCTCAACCACCTCCACCGGATTTCCTCTCTGTTTCGTTCATCTTTGTTCAAATCTATTAACTTAGCTATATTGAATAATCGTCGTTTATCTATCCTAATTCACCAAACGTGGACAGCTTCTCAGCCGTCGTTTCTCCAGACGCCTCCGTTATCTCCTCCCACTGGCATCTCTGTCCAGCTCCTTGACAGCGGTGGCATAGCCTTCTACTCTGATAATATTTTAATTTCCTTTTTGACCCACATTCAAAAGAATCACACAAGCATGAAGATGTCGTGGAAACACCCCGAATTGCGGAAACGCCCCGAATTGCGGACAGCAGTTGCTGTCACGCCCTGGCTCTGGGGACACTGTTATGTTGAGCCAGGGTGTGTAATTCTATGTTTATATTTCTATGTTGGCCTGAGTGACTCCCAATCAGAGGCAACGAGTGTCAGCTGGTTGTCTCTGATTGGGAGCCATATTTAACTGTCTGTCTTTCACTTTGTTTGTGGTTTCTTGTTCGTATTTTGGTTAGTGTATGACCATTGACTATCACGTC